ATTGATGTCATTGAGCCGTGGTCATTTACTATTAGGTTTCACTGCTTCCTTGAAAATAGCATTCATATTTATCATGTTACTATCATTGTAATGTAGATGTAAATTATCTATAAATGTGTCATTGTTATGTTAATAATACAGGCCAATATGAAAAACTGTCCCTATGTTCCTAAGTTAAGTTACATTATTTATATCCTAGAAGTGTAATCTATTATATCTTGCGATCCAAATATCACATCCCGTTGTAATGGATTTTGGAGACGTATCACAAGAAAATATCATGTTGAAAACAAAGTCTATTAGATTCCCAAATGCCCGAAGACTTGACATCTCTCTGACAATTTCCTTATCAATTAGTAATAAAGTAAAATGTAATTTGAAATTTAAACATATTTAAATACAGGATATTGAAGACAATGCTAAGTTTATAGTTGGTGGTGCCAAGTATGATGATATTACTCAAGGTCAACTTGGTGAGTTCAATATTTCATATATAGGTAGTAAATATGATCCGAACTTTAAGATATAAGCTAAAAGTAAAGTGAATAAATTATTGGTTGTCAAAATTCAATTCATTTGCAAAGAGTTTTTATATAGTTATATTAATGATGCGAGCAAAAACTTGAATTTATTCCTATCAGCAATTACTCTACTTTATCCTAGAAATTATCAATGTCTATGTCAGAGTTTGTCAAGATCAAAATATTACTTAGTATAAACATTTTGTAGGTAACTGTTGGTTTATTTCCGTTGTTGCTACTATTGCTACAGATGAAGTGTTGTTTAAAAGGGTTGTACCAGATCAAGAGTTGGATCAAACAGGTCTGTAATATAATGCGTAATTATAACTTTAACAGTACTTCCTAAAGATTTGATAAATATATATGTTTTCATATCAGAAGTGAGGTGAAGCAGAGAAGGTGAAGTTGAAATGAAGGCAAAGTGAACAAATTTTCAAATTGAGGCTAAATAAAAACTATTTTAAACAAACTAAACAAAAACTTATGGGCGAGTTACCTTCTTTAACATGAACCGATATGAAACGAAAAGATGCACGGAACGATTTAAAAGAGAAAGCGTAAAATGACTGCTAACCGAACAGGAAAACTATTAGAAAACGACCAGGAACTGAATAGACTAAATAACTTGAAATAAAAGGCACACTTGATCGCAAACTACACAGGGTTATCACCATTCTAGAAAACCTGATATCACTACCCACTGGGTTTGTTAGATCATCACCCCTTGGTACAGTCCATGCAGCTTTTAATGCTTATTTGGTATAAATATTTTCAGGAGTGGTTTGTTTTTATTTTTGGTACGATGGCGAATGGAAGGAAATTATTATAGATGACAGATTACCTACAAGTAAACGCGGCCGATTGATTTACTGTAAAAACCATGCCCAACCAAACGAATTCTGGTGTCCTTTGCTGGAGAAAGCATATGCCAAGTAAGTTTTTGGTCAATTTTAGCTGTAATGCTTTTTAGAATTAAAATCCAACGACCGAATCTCCTACCATTCAACAAACAAACTGAAAAATTGATGGCACAGGAAATATTTAGACTAAGTACTCTAGTGTTAATACCATAATTTTTCAGATTGTATTCATGCTATGGTGCATTAGATGGGGGTCTTATAAGCGAAGCTTTGGTTGATTTAACTGGTGGCATTGGCGAAACTTTAAATTTACCACCAAAACCTACAAATGAATATGTGAAAACGATGGAACATTTATCTGCCATACTTCTTAAATGTACCAAAATGAATACGATGCTTGGTGCAGGGATTATCGTAAGTGATTATATTATATATTATTTTATTTTTATGAACAAATCTGCCCAAATCGTTAAAATAATACATTATTTGTTGAAAATAGTTTTAATGAAATTGAATAACGCAACATAATTATATTTAAAAAAAAAACATGATATGACTGATGTTTTCTTTCAGAATCGGGCGTTTTGGACAGACGAGGAAAGGTCGGAAAGAAAATATACGAAATTAATGGATGAACATGCTTACAGTATTATAAAAATTGTAGAGGTATGATTTGTATGTTTAATATTCTCCTACATCCACTTACTTACTTCGATGCTGAAGTTTCAAGGGGGAGTGTGCAAAATTTTCTTTATCAAAAACGTCGTAAATTATAGCTGCAGTCTAACATTTTTAAAGCATGTTATTTATTTTTATATCTATTGATCAAACTGAATTTGTTAAACAAAAGGGTTGATTAAAAACTACAAAGTTATCCTCCAATTAATTCATCTATTAAGAAACAGGACAACTATATCAAGACTACATTGTATTTTCAGATAGAATATAAATATGATTATGTTACATTGTTATTGATGAGAGATCCCAATGCTAGAAATGCCGGCCATATGGAATGGAATGGAGCATGGAGCGAAAAGTAAGTACTATGTGAATGTGAATTGAAGTTTAATCTAATTGTGAACTGAACGGATGTAGAAGTCCCCATTTTCAGAGAGTATTTATTGTTTTCCAAATGTATACATATATTATGTTGGCATATTTTTGAAATTATTTGTTATTCAAAAATATTGTGAATTATTTCATTCACATTGAAATTTCAGTTCTGATGAGTGGAACCACATATCTCTTGATATCAAAAGAAAACTGGAATATTCACAAGATTTGGATGGCCAATTCTGGTAAGAATAATCATCCGAAATTTCATTTTGCCCTTTCATCATCTTCATGACGGATTGATAACGTCATCAAGGTCTGTAATGGTTTTATGAAGCTAATTTGATAAATATAAACCTGTTCAGGCGTGGTTTATTTACTTACATTATATACTATGCGCCTGTATTTATCAGCGTAATCATTGTTTGCTAAGGCATGTAGCCTGCATTACTTTCCAGCATATGTATTTCCAGTGTTTAATCTCGGTTTTGGTGAAAACACACCTTTCGGATTTTTCAATAGGGTTTTGACCCTGTCAGTGCGCTGATATCATCGTGTCCAAACCACGCCCCCATTCGTCATACTAAGACCATGTCAAAACCCGTATTCGTGATGTAATGGGCTGATATGTACATCATCTAGTAGGTCAGATGGTATAATAAACCATCTGTTTCACTTCATTTTTAAGGATAAGTGTAAAGGATTTTGTGAAACAGTTTGACTATGCTTATTGTACACATTTAACTCCAGATGCTTTAACATCAGAACTTGCTCTCGATCCG